AATTTCATCCAATTTTGTACATCGCATCACACGTGATTGTTTTTGTTAATATGGAATAAATGCAACTTCAATGAAATAAAAGATAACCGTCATTACTGGCTACCACATCATCAAATTGTGTAAATCAAGTAACACAGTTGGATGGAATATCCAACTGAAACGAAATTAAAGTATAATCATTAGTTGAAAAAAAATGAAGTACAATGACATGATTAACACTGGAGTAAAGTATAATCACCTCGAATGAAATTTACCCGGTCCCAATTACAGGAGCATGAATCATTTAAAAAGGGAAAAATTATCCAAAAATCTACATTTTAAGTATTCATTTCAAATATCAAACCTTAAACTTTTTTTTTTTTCACATATCAGGGGTTACTTCATCTTTTAATATTAATAATAATGCTATAAAATTAAAATTTAATCTACATATTCAACCCCACCCACCCCCATTTCGTTCAAATCTAATTTCATTTCTGAACCCTATATTTTCTCTTTTCGAGGGGCAAAGGTCGTGGGGGGTAGGGTGGGCTGTAGCCCTGCCCTGCCCCAGCCCAGATGGAACCCAGTTTTTTATTGGGGATTTTTTTTTGGGCTGGTTGGGTCATATTGTCAATGAGTTGGGAAAATTAATATGTTCAGATTGTTGGTTAGATTGTGAATGTCGTGAAACCTTATTTCGATCATATTTTTTTGACAATATTATTTGTTGTGTATTCTAAATATTATGACATTTTTTTATGACGCCTCATATTTTTTGGTGTTTGCTTTTTCCACCATAATGTTGGGAAAAAAACTGAATACATCAGTCATTGACCGTTACAAAAAGAAATTAAGACAATAAGCAAATAAGGTTGCAAAATATAATAAAAGCAATGGATGAAAAAACGTCGCAAAAACTTAACACGTTGCCGTATCCTCATACACTACGACAATATTAGAGGTTACAACATACGGGGTGAACGTTGTGAAAGACATACGACAATGTTTTTTGTCCGTTTGCAATAAATAATTTTTCTTGTAGTGGATTTTCCTTCCATCTATAGAATTTTTAGCAACAAATATTCTTTGTCGCAAAAAGTAGACCCTATTGTATCACAAATGCTTTGTTGCAAGAAATAAGTTTGTCACCATAAGTTCCCCACCAAAACAAATTTGGCATCTTGCTTCCCTCAAGTTCTTGGTGACAATTTTTACTATTTGTCGCGGCTTCTAACATTTCACGACAAATTTTTATGTTGCCTCATATTTTTTGATACTTATTTTTTTGGTATCAATCTTTACGACAAACTTAAAAAATGTGTCACGCTAAATCACTTATTGCAACAACTTTTCGTATATCGTAAATTTTTTTGTCGCAAAATCACCTTTTTGTTGTGGTGATTTCATTTAGTGCCGTACACTTTTTGTCATGAGTTTAGCCTCTTATAGCGCGAGTTCATTCGATTTTTTTTTTAATTTCAGCTCATCCTAATGTTATTTTATGGCTCCGCCCCTGCTCTTTTCCTTCCCTATATGTTCTCCCTCTATATCACCCTCCCCACCTTCTCTCTATATTCCTGGCGCCGAGTAGTACGTGAAGCCACCGATATAGTATAAAGTTTAAAGATACTGCCATAGCCGGTGAAGGCATCACGTCTAGCCCTTGCTAAAATGGGTTCTTTACTTATTTTTCGGCTTTGAGTGCGGGTGGTGGGGGAGGGTTGATAGCGGACACCACCTTTGTTGTCATTTGATTTGGGTGGTTTGTGCTATGGATGGGTTGTTGGTGTTTTGATTAGATCTGTCATCTAACTAGAGTTTTGGGATAATTGATGGTATTTTGCAAATGGCGGCAATGATTTTTTGATATGTGGGTTGTTTTCTGATATGTGGTTCTTTGTTGGTTCTATTGGTGGTGGTGGTGGTGTGGTGCGTATTTGGTTTTTGATGGTGATGGGAGTGGTGGTGATGCCGGAGCAGTGGCGCGACGGCGAAAATTGGCTGTGACCAAATCTATCTTTATTGTGACTTTCTATGACCATATCTATGTTAACTATGACTGTATGTAACTTAGTTACATACAGTCACAAATTAGACCGACCTGACCACAGACAATCACACTGAAAATATATTTGGTCAAAATTAGTCATAAATAACACAGGTCGGTGAAGATAGAATTTATAGTCGTGAATTTGAGTTGAATGTGGTAATGGTGGTGTATTGGAGGTAATGGTGCTGGCGACTGGTGGTGGATTGTGGTGCTGGTCTGTGGTGTTACGAGTTTGTTTGTGATGACTATATGTGACCAAGTATGTGTTTATGTGATTGGTTGTGACTAATTATGTGTTAACGGTGATTGTTGTCACTTGGTTACATAACGTTACAGTTAAAATGGACCTAGTCACAAACAGTCACACTGAACACACATTTGATCACAGTTAGTCACATATAACACATGTTACTGACTTGGTTACATACATACACAAATTAAACGGTCACAAACAGTCACATTGAAGACAAATTTAGTCACAATTAGTCATATATAACACATGTATGGTCACAGATAACATAGTTAATCACAAATCTGTGATGATTTCGTGGAGTGGGGGTGTAATTTCCAAAAAACATTTTAAATTTCCTAATTTTTTTTAAAGGGTGGGGTGGGGTGTAAGGGTATACATGGTTCTGGTTCCAAGATAACCGAATTGAACCATGAACCAATGATTTTTTTATAATAGAACCAAATGGTTTTTTTAAAGATATCGAAACCAAACTGAACCAAACCGTTCGGTTCTGATTTGGTTTGGTTCTTGTTTCATATTCTTAAATTTTCAGACTTGCACCAAATGAGTTAATTATTAATATATACCTAAATGAAAAAAAAAAAAAAACATTCATCAAGATCACAAAAGTCCAAACTAATGAAGAAAATATAATCATAATTTGAATACACAAATCAATTTTCATTCCTATACAAAAAATTGTTTAATAAGTAATAACAGTGATTCACTAAATTAATTACAGCAGTTTTGACAGCATGCCCCACAATAAATGATGAATTATGCAAAACTTTTACGATTCACTTTTATAGGCAAACATTAACCATTTAATACTTCATAAATGTTTATTGATTTTTTCTCTATTTGTGAAGATTCATTAAACAAACAAGGTAAAAAAAAAAAAGTTCAAAGGCTTTTTATGTGACCGATCAATTTAATTTTTCGATCTTAAAAAAGTCTCATCCGCTAACTTGATAAAATGCGGTGCCAGCATGCCGTGACGTGTATGTGTACACACACCATTAATTTTTTTTGGTAGAATCGAATTGAATCGCTCAGTTTGGTTCGATTTTGATTTGGTTTGGTCTGGACATTTTGTCCAACCCTAATGGGGTATAATTTCCATAAAATATTTTTAATTTTTAAAAAAAGTTTACGAGTTGGGTTGAGTTGGGTTGGGGTGGGGTGTAATCTCAAGAAACGTTTTTAATTTTTGAAAAAATTTCAGAGGTATGGTGGGGTCCGTGAGATATTAATTGTACAATATGGGTGTTTGGTGAGGATTAAAATTATATTTTTAGTATATTGTGGTAGAAGTTTTTGAAATGTGTGGTTTAAAATATGTGTGACCCATGAAAGATGTGGTTAATATTGATTGTTTGACTTTAACTTACACTAAAATCTGATTTTAATCCTAAATAAACATGATTAATTTGGTTGGTGGGTGGGCTGGGGATAATTAATTACAATTATATATATTTATATATTAACACTTGAATTTTGAAATAATTTGACAATTTTATTAATTTTAAAATATAATTCTTATATATAAGAGTTATGTATTGTTTCCCTTAAAAAAAATTTAAAGTTTCCTTTTAAAAAGTTCCAGGTTTTTTAGTTTCAGGACCCCAACTTTGGACTGCCATTTTTCGTCCCATGACTCAATTTTCTTCTATTGTTCAATTAGGCCCTAAAAAATTTATAACTTTTCAATTTAATTCATTTAGGTCGTTAATAATTTGAATTAGTTTGATTTACTTTCTATTTTCAGTTTAAAGTAAATTATAGAAGCGACAACTGACATTTTCCAATTTTACTTTCAAAATTCTTATATAATTCTACTTTTTCAAATTTAAATTAAATACAGGTGATACGAATTTTTGAGGCATTACGACAACTTTGGTAAACCGACCTTCAATTGACACAAGGTTGAGGAGGTCTACTAAAAAACTAACTTTGGAGTTCCCACCTTATTATCGAAAATTCAAGATCGACATGATTAATCGTAGATAATCAATTGCTCAAATCAGGTTGACCTCATATGATAGATTATGGATGAAAAGATTGACCCTAAAGTTGATAAGTGGAAAAAGTCGATTATGCTAAAGTCCCACGATATCAAAGCATTAGATATTGAGTTCAGGTATCCCCAAAACTAATACAAGGGATACATTCAAGAATAAATGAACGGATAGGACTCGAAATTCATGCCAAAACTGCTGGAGGAATGCCTATATATAATGTTATGTAGCCCCCGAGTATCATGGGATTAACCGGACCCCCTCCAGAGACTCTCGAGAAAGCTATTTCAACCTGTTGTATCGTAGATTAAATTTCTTGATATGTAGATTAAATTTTATTATACTATAGTTTATTTAAATTACCATAATCAATGCAATTGATTCTCCAAATACTTTTCTATATAGAACTAACTATTTCACCGTACTTGACAGTTGGAGTTTCTCCATAATCTCCAAATAAATTTTGGTAGGCAACTTACTCTTTAATAATATATTTCCGGACCATAATGAAATGTGGGTTTTATTGTGAAAAGGTACAAAAATAAATTAATTGAGAAGCTCGAAAGCAAGGATGCTGGAAGAAACGAAAAGTAACTCAGAAAAAAGCACAAATTTCTATATGGTTTTACACGTCTCGGCTGCCAAGGCAGAGCATTTCAAGTTTCGACCAAAGGAGGATTCCAACCCGGACGAGCAAGTGTATAATCTTGAATTCAGATCACTCCCTCTGCATCATTTAAAAGAAAACACTTTTACATAGAGAATAAGCAACAACAGAGACGAAATTACGCTTTTTCTACATTTTTTTTCCCTTTTAAGACTAAAAGAAAACTTGGGGACAATGCGAGATGAGAAGAATGGATAAAGTAATACCCTTGGGCGTTTTGTACTTGGTTGTGATTGAGGGCCACGCCGCCGACGAGAAGCAGCCCGTTGATCTTGGTTTTCATCATTCTGCACATGCAAAAAATTGCTCAGCCACAGGATTATTCACCTCTAGTTCCAAATTGAATGCTTCTTTATTTGAAAATTATCAATGGGACTGGACTGCGATGGATAGTTCTTTCCATTGTGGAAAAAAGAAGACTTGCAATTGACTGTCTGAGCCAAACCCACATTTGATCTTTTAAAATAAAATTTCATCGCAGAGTTTCTTTACCTGGGGTTCAGTCAAGTTTGCGCCTCCATTAGAGGCTGCTGCGCCATTTTCTTGAATAATGGGCATTATCTGTTGTAGTATATTAGACAACAATATCCCTTCACGACTTGCTTCAGCTGCCTCCTGAGAAGTACTGGCATCCTGGGCTGCTCCAGCAGGAGGTGGGCTAACATTGTCACCAAAAATATGCTCACCAGGAAATATTGTCCTCAGCAGTTCCCCGAGTCCACTTTGGATCTGCGCAGAGAACCCTTGCCTTTGGGATGCTTCACTAGTTGTAGTACTGCTGCCTGAAGATAATAATTGTCGTTAGTGAATAAGAATGATAGGATGGCAATAGTGTATGGGATCAAAAAGTGTCCAATCACATGTAGGCTTACCATTTCCTCCAGGTGCTCCAATATTTTGCTGCTGTGTTGCAGAATCGGGTATTGTTTGTTGTTCGGGGTCAATATCCTGACCACGATGTTGCTCAGATGCTTGAGAAGCTCTTGCGCTACTCGAATTTCCAGAAGCTACATGTTGAACTCTAGCTAAAACTGGGTACACTATTCCGATTGAACCATGAGGTGAATTGGAACCACGTTCACCAGAAGCAGGAACGGCAGCAACCATGGTCCTAATAGGAATTGCCCGCACTTCAGAATCCCGGATGACGGAATTTGGATCAAGTCCTACGGCAGCTTGTTGACCAGAATTCCCACCGGTAGAAGACATGGTAACACCATGTCCTTGCGACTGTAAATCAATTGTCTCTCTCCGGGACAGCAAAGAACCTGACAGCAAAAGTAGGGTGAAAAGAAAATAGATAGGAGTCACGCATTCAGTATTCAGAAATGCAAACATCACATTTGCAATTAATCATTATCAAGGTAACGAACATATGCTTAATCGACAAAAGAATTCATAACTTTTAAAATATGATGCAATCATAAGCTATGTTTTCAAATGCTGACAAACCTAGCCTTGTGCCTACGTAGTCAAGAAGTAAAATTCCCTAGCTAACAATTGGTACAGCACCTGTTCGTACTCTGATGTCTATATTCCTGGGAAGAAAACCAGAACCAATAGATCCTCCAGATAGTCCTGAGCCATTCTGCATAGTTCCAAATGGATTTGCCCCAAAATTTGCTCCCGGTTGAAACGGAAGTGGCTGCATACGGTTCATAAGGAAAAGAATGAGCATATGATCTGAAGGTGCCACAAACAATAGTTGGAACATTCTATCAAATAAATTGCCACCTGAACCATTATAGGATTTGGACCTGTTGACGATATAAAAACTGATGGTCCAGCATTCACCAATGCATCAGCCTGAAGCAAGGACACTCTTACAGTCAGTTTGATGACAATATTATGCACATTTTTTGTTGATCTTCTATCATAAACTGCAAATTAACAATTCAGTATAGGTGAAAGTTCCACATTAAAAGGAAAGTGAAAACACACCGGTGTTTGACCCATTCGGAGAGTCATGGTTGTCCGCCCAAGTTCAAGAAGCAAAGAACTTAAATTTTGAAAAAGAACCCCGGATCTCATAGCATTAGACTGAATTCTCGACCGCTCCAATGGATCGGTCACATCCGCATGACCCTGCAGCTGTCCCGCAAGTTGCTGCAGGAAAAAAAATAACAAAATTACGGCACTAACAACAATAGCAAAATTATGGACTAAAACCTCTTCTATATCTAGTAGACTGTAGATAGACAAATGGTGTCATCTCCCTCAATGTTAGGAGAACATAGACATTTTATAGTCTAAAAAGCACTTGATAGCAAGCTACACTGATTTATATCTTAAGAAAGGGAGAAGATCCGGGCCATTTCACATGAAAAATTAATTTCGAAACAGACAAAGAAAATGTAGGGAATCATGGGACCAAAATACAGTTCTTAGGTTCTATGTCCCCCATCTGTCCATCTAAAAAAACAAGAAAGGAAAACCGTGTATGCTTCTGAGCTGACCAAATGAAATATTCAAAGTACAATCATGCTATGTGTACAATGTCGTTAACAACATTGTTGACGACATGCCATGTGGCATGTTATCATTGGATTGTTTAAAAAAAATTATCTTACCAACCAAAAAAATATTGTACAGACAGTATTATCCTTAGAAGTGTATCTTATAGCAGAAAATTAGATTTTTCTTTCACTGTTTGGTTAATAGTCAGTCTTAGTTTCAGCTTCAAATAAGATAACAAAAACTCATCGTATCAGTTCAAATAAGTAAATTTCATATGGAACGCATAATGCTCTTATGTTGGCTGTGTCAACCAATTTTCACTGTATAAAATTCTAGTGCTGTTTGAATGTTACATGTAAATGAAGCAAGTTACATAATTCATTTATTTACTTAATTCTAGAAGTGACAGTTATATAATGTAAGCTCATACCAATAACCCCTCAGCTGCTTGTTCAACAAGTATTTGTCTTGTGGACAGAATCAGCTCAGCCAATGATTCTGGGGTCGGAAGCCCTCTCTGTGCAGTAGAATGTGAATCTTGTGCATCACTCCCACATGGACCAGCAGTTTGAAAACTACCACTTTGACCTCCAGCTGAAAAAACCCAATGATGTAACGGGAAATGTTTGTTTTTGTTTGGACGGTGAAAATTAAAATTAACTAAGAAAAGAATCCTGACCGTGGGTACGGAATTCTTGCCTCAAGTGACTCAAGTACTGGGACAAAGTAGTCAATGAATCAGGAATAATCTGAAAGAAAACATAAACACGAAGCTCAGTGAGAGAAAGATGGGGGGATAGGATAAAATGGAGAAGTACAAAGCAGATAAGATAGTTAAAACTCTTTTATGTGCAAATCTCACTTGCTGTAGTATTTAAAAAATGTAATAATATACATGAAAAAAAAAAACATCCAAAGGTTACCGGTGGCTGCAGAGATTCTTCAGGAACAGCATTTGAAATAGCTTGGTATGAATGCAGTCTGTTAGAATTTATCGGACCACCAAGGCTTGGTGCAGTAGAAATCCTTTCTGATGGAGGTTGCTGGGCAAAAAATAAAGAAATCAGTTGACTAGAGAGGATAGAAAGATTGTAAAGTTTTCCTCCATTAAGAAAATTATAATATCGTATGAACTAATGGACATATGCAGTGGAATAACTCCAACAAAGTTCATCCTGTGTCAAAACCTAGACAGCCATTCAGTGAGCGTAATATAAGAAGCACAATGATGAACTTTCACAATCTTACATTAAGATCAATCCCTTCACTACCACTTCCCATTCTTGCAATTCCAAAAGAATTAAGTACGGTTGAGACAATCTACAGGATAAGCAAAGAAATGTAAGTGAAACTTAATTTTTAGTACAAAATAAGAGCCGCATAATGTTGGAAGGTGATAAAATTACCCGATTGAGATCGGGAAAAGCTCCATCTCCCTGCTCAGATATATTGAAGGTTCCAACTACAACACCAGGACCTACCTGATTGCCCGAATTATTCCCAGTACTTGATGTGGGATCAGTTGCTGCAAAGACAAGGGCTTGATAATCAGATATAAGTTGCCACAACCTTGAGACAACACATAAGAAATAACTAATAAGGAAACTACAACAAGAATTAACATTTAACAGTCATGCACAAACAAGATGCTTGTTTTTTACGCAGAACTTGATAGTATATGAACAAGAAATTAGCTTCTTTTTCTTCCTTAGCCCCTGTTTGACAACCATTTTTATAAAACTCTATTTTTCTCAAACTCATTTTCAACCACACATTCTAACAATGAAATATTCTACATGTAAACCCAAACTTTTTTGTACTTTTTAACCACACATCCTCCAAAAAACTCACTATTCCAAAACTTATTTTTCCCAAAAATTCTTTTTAATGATTGTCAAACAGGGCTTAGTGTTTGAGTGCTATCCCATCCACTCTACCAAACACACCATAATAGTAACCAATTATAACTTAAAACCAAAATAATATAGTTGTTGCAGTGGCATTCGAAAGCATGTCAAGAATTAATCACATTTGCACAAGGAAAGCGACGCTCAAAATTAGGGAGTTAGCCGACCAAGTTATTGTTTCGTATCAGACTATTCTATATAGATGGAATGTTTACTAAGGGCCTGTTTGGTACAGATTTTCGTTTTCTACAGTAAATCAATTCTTATTTTCAACCACACATTTTTCAATAAAATAATATTTTCCATCACATCAATATTTTTTTCTTCTTTTTCAACCACACATTTCTTATTATATCACTATTCAAAAATCAATTCTTCCCCCAAAAATCCCCACCAAACACACTCTAAGAATAGAAGAACAATTAAGGAGAGGAATAGAACAAATGATAAATAATATTCCTACCAAACACACACTAATTTACACATGCATGACACAAGAAATATAGATGTCAACCAATTAAAACAAAATTCCTTAATCAGATAAAATGAAAGCCAGATTTTTTCCTGCAACATTCGGTCCTTATCAATTTAGATTCAAGGCCAAACAACATATGACATGCATCTTCTTAAAATGGTGAACAGAAAAACATTAGGTAATTAGCTTAGCTACTTAGCAAATTAATGATATGTTTCAAAACCATCATGCATTCAAATAAGGACTGTAGAATTAATTACCACTAGATAAAGATGCAGTTTTGTTCTACCGAGAATTAAGCAAGAGTTTACTAAAAACTAAAATACAGCATTATGCATTACACAAACAATCGGAGCCCTTCAAATCCATTCAACCTAATGAATTATATACTACTCCTGTTTCAAGAAGGGTAAAAAACAAAGGAAAAAGTCAACAGAAAGAATGACCACTGATGAATACCCTAGTAAATCTATCAAACACTGTGGTACAAACAATGGACACTGAAGATACTAAAATCGTATAGTTCCAATCTTCAATTGTCAGGCAATGAATACCAAGGCAAAATAACCTCCTAAACTCTAAATATAAATACACACATATGCATGTTTAAAGAAAGCACAACTGAGTTGCATTGTTCAAAAATAAATATTAAATGGAATAATCAAATAAGAACCTTTTTTTTACTCAAGAACAAATGCTTGTTCACCGCATTGACGCAGCCATAATTGAACGGATAAATATATTCTAGCATTGAGCGTAATAAGGTAATCTGATACACTGATATATGTTTCAGAAAGAGAACCATGCAAATTACATTTCTTACGAAGATTTCCTTGGAACAATGTCTTCTGCACTTCATGTTTCATCAAATATTCGGAGAAAATAAATTCTAAGGAATTGTTTCTTTTACTATGTATGTCTTCTATCACCCTTTTTCAATTTGGTTCACAATTAATCCAATATATTTTTTCTATGGATCAACAATAAGTCCTAGATGAATCTCAGAAACATGGAAACTCAGCAAATCTTCATATTTGCACATAACTATGGCATTTCCAAGAAATCTATAAAAGGCTATTTCATTCAACTATTATTGCATTGTGAAAAATCAGATGATCAGAAAATCCAAGGAACAAAAGATGGAGCAGCAGAAACCAAGAACATAACAAGAAAATGGAAGCGGTAAAATACATTAAATCTACTGGAAGCGTATGAATGACAAATTTTGTAAGGAAATATAAAGTACTCTCCATGAAGCATGCACGAATTTTTTTCACTCTAGAGATTTAAGATAACTTGCATAAGCACTGAATTTTAATATGTAGTCCAAAATACCACATTGACAAGTGACAAGTTAGTCATCATAAACTCGATCGTTTAAGCTACATGGAGCATCTTCAAATTAACAAAAAAATATAAAGTAAGAATGTTTCAAATTTATAGTGTTGCACTTTCTAATTATCAAATTCTACATGTTCAAGTTGGACAACGAACTGTGTAACTATAAATACTTCAGAATATCATTCAATTCTGACCTGGAACTTCTTTACTGTTTATCAAATAACTAACACATAAGATACGAAGTTTATGTAAGTGCAAGGGACATTAAACCTGCATGATCAACGCCGTCTGATGATGGGATGACTGGCTGTCTCACGACCAGGTGCAACGTGTGACCATCTTCCACATCTATGAATAAATCTATTAAGGAACTGAAGCATTAAATCAATATAAACAATTCCAACTTCCTAACATTTATTATCCTCCTCTGAAACTGATAGTGACAGCTTACTTCAAAGCATAGGATGTGAAATTTAGTCAAAACTTACAAGAGAACAAAAAAACTAAGCATAAAGTCATTCTACTCCCTGGAAAAGGCATAAAGAAGCAAGGATACGGTAAGCTGAGAGGAGCTGATCGTCCTTCAAAACTTTTCCACGGCATATAAGGCGCTGTTGTTCCGACAAGACACCAGTTACAGAAGCAATCTGCTCCTTCAGCCGAGGAACTGGCACCTGCAATCAATGTGAATATTAAGAATTTGGGGCATGGAACTGAAAAATAAGAAACACGACCAATGCCACATTGTACAATTCTAGTAGATTTTAACAAATTCCAACCCATAGACAACATTGTTTAAGCCATTAAGGTCACTGCTGCTGCAAGTGCAGTTTCACTATTAATAAACACACATGAACGTGGATGTGACTCAAAAACAAACAAAAGATTTTTACATAGAATAACAAATCTAAAACATCAAAAAAACTGAAAAGTTATCAGGATTAAAAAATAATCGAAGCCAGTTTTTTGTAGATATCCAAGTTTTAAAGATAAGCAGTGAAAAGGGAAATAATTATTACGCATTTATCCACTTGCAGAGTGTAAGTTTGAGAATCCAAAGTCTTGATCTTTATCTCAACAGTGGTTTCAGAACATCCAGCCGTATCATTCCCTGAGATTTTCATGTCCTCAGCACCATTACTTCCCATCTTCTTCAAGTTCTTACTCAATACCTGAAACTAATAATGACAAGTGAAATTCTTGAAAGAGTGAGAGGATAGAACAGCATTGGAAAGGGTAAGAGCAAGAGCAAGAAGATCTAGTTACCAGGTTCACCCACCAATGTAAATAAAAAAGATAAAGAGGAAGAGGAAGAAGAAATGACTCTATATAGTATGAGTTTATTATGGAAGTTTTCACTTATACCCGAGGTTAAGAAAAATGTCCCTTACTCCCTATGGTTATAGAAATAGACAGATTCCTCTAGTTTCCCTAAATAAATAAATTCGTTATACAGTCCAGGACTAAGAAAAAATACCGTTTAGCCTACTCTCAATTTAAATGAAGATAGATATTTTTGCATGATGATCATGGAAAGATAGATTTATTAATAAAATCTAGATGGAAAAATAAGAACAATGGCATATCGTGATAGTAACAGTACAGGGGAAGTATGAGACAAAATAAATCCACTTGGTTTCAAACTTGATAACTTTTTCTTAGACCCCCCCCCCCCCCCCCCCTCCAACCCTCCAAAACCCAAGTATCGTATACACCCACCAAATATATGAAAAAACTTGAATAACATTAAAAAAAAAAAAAAGATGGAAAAGAAAGGCGAGAAATTAGTTTAAACTAAAAGATAACAGGAAAAAATAGAGGGGCAGGTATCAATTAAAGCAATAAGTATCAACTTTTTAAGGTTAAATGATAAATGACGGCGACAATTTTTAATATCATCATGTAATTTTATCATTTATGTATTGCAGATCATGTCGAGAGACAAACTTTACATCTAATTTACCATAACTAAGCAAGTTGGGCCTACTTCAGGCTAAACCTTGCCTCATCTCTGCTCAAATTTCATAGAAGTATTGTACTGTGGCTTAAACTCATCTAATCAGATCTAAGATAAGAAGGATGAGAGCAGATGGGCATTGGACCGTACAAGTCAATTGACAACTGAAACTGCCATAAACCAGCATCACAACTAGATGGCTTCTTGCCTCTACCTTTAACTCATTAAATAGACAGTGATAGCACCATAATTCCAGATCCCATAACTATCAAAGTTGGGATCATCCACTCACCAATTCGGTAAAAGCAATGAAGAAGCCGCCTCTATGAAAGAAAATTAACTATTGCTGCCAAACAACTTGTACCCGTGGCAATCCATGTTGCTTCCTTTTCACCGCAGGTTAAATCAGTCGATTGATTCTAATATAAATAACACAGAAGTTGCAATAAAAATTTAGCAGAAATTTCTTGTGAGATTCTTATTTGTGGGAGGACTCAAGATGGTGATAAACCTGACATAGATCATCATGTACGTGAGCAGGGTGGTATTAATGGTTGCCAAGAAACGAAAGGTGGCAGTGTTGTGAAATTGGTGATTGCAATGGATGCAAATTACAGAAGTAGATAGAAATAGGTACGAAATCAATCAAAAGAAGACGTGGATGGAGAATTAGAGAGGAGGATCAAGAATAAACCTGAAGCCTGAACCACTGGTGAAGGGGAACATTGTAGTTTTGTTTTTTCGCTCTCATGTTTTAATTCTTTTTTTTTTTTCTCTATTTATTTTGACCACGGGGGCCACCGATGAAGTTAGTATATACCTTCAGCTACTAGTAATTTTCAGCTACAGCACATGCATGCATGCACGCACATTACATGAGTTGCTATGTAAAAATACGAGTAATTGTACTATGATAATTACTAGTTTGTCATCTCACCATCTTAACAGATTTCTCACCTCACTACCACAATTTCTTAGGTCCAAGATCCCTCTCCATGTTTATTTCATCTCTAAAATCTCCTAGGCACCCAAGCCAAAAGTCCTCATCGCCATCCAAGAGATGCACCAAGCATAGTTGGAATTCCATCATTGGCCAACATCATGAATCACAAAAGTTCCATAGTTCATGTAGCATTCTTACTGTCAAGCACTACTACATAGCAACTCAGACCACCCTCTACAAGAACAAATAGATATCAAAAAAAGTAAAAATAAAAAGCTTAAGAACTTATTTTATCACATACAATCTGTCAAACCCTTAACTCAACCTTCACAAGCCAACATTGGAATGTATAACGTGGACAGTCAATCATGATACATCCAGACTTCCCTATTTAATCAATCCATTATTTTCGGCTATTGTCAACTTTCATGATACAGAACAGAATAGAACCAGCACAAATAATCGGATGAATCTATGAAAAGACAATCTCAAGTTGCTAAAAATGCTCCAATTTTTAGGGTTCAAAATAGCTGGACATTGTTGTCAAAATAAGTGAACCAAGTGAATCATTTCGGTAAACCAAAGCTGGGCAAGCTCAATTCAGAGTAACATGAATATCAAACTCGACCCCACTCTGTTTCTGGTAAAACACTGAGCGAAAAAACCATCGATCTCATTTGATTAGGCATCCGTATCTTGATTCATAAACCTCATTAAAAATGGGTCTTGAACGCTGTTTATGCTTCATAATACAAAAAACCGCATAAAATTACTTGAAAATTGAACTGCGATTAATAAAAAAAATACAGTCTTTCTCAAAATCCGTGTGCTGGGCAGCTAAATTACAAACAAAAAATGATCAATGATCAATAATTCATGCGACCAAAAAAAATACAAAATAAAAATCTGTACACACCAAACGGATTTCAAGAAAGAGAGCATAGAAAAACGTATACATAAATAAATGGAAATCTAAAGCAAACCAATTAAAGAGACCTTCGAGGGTTTGATCGACACAGCGATTTATCGAAGAAAATGCCCGGCGACGATGAGAGCGTCAGCAGGAGATGAGAGATGTAAGAGGGTTTGTGCGGTGATGTCTTGATTTTTCTTTCCTCTTTCTTTTTTCCGATTTACACTCTTCCTTCACTTTCAAAATTTCACGCACACAATTTTACCAACTTTAAAAATATTTTGCTAGTGTTTTAGGTAAGAAATTAAAGGACCGTTCGGTAGGGATTAAAATCAGATTGAAATTGAAAAAATAGTCGTTATTGTTGATTTTTATTAGACGAGTGGGACCCAATAACGGTCATATTTTCAATTTTAATTGGATTTTAATCCCTACCGAACGGGTATTTCACCTTTGTTAAAAATATTTTTTCACTTTCGCTCAATGAATTAGGTTTGAGTGGACAATGTGTGCGGGTTAGAAAAAATCAAACAAGTTGCACAATTTGAGAGCGTCGACACTTTGTACAAACCAATTTTGAAATTCGTGTACTCATTTTTTTTAGTTTTAATTAGATCAAATTGCTCGTTAGAATTTAATGAGCTCTGATATCATGTCGAAACTTTGTAGTTCCATCTTAAAAAGTGAACATTATTAAAAAAGAGTGGTCTAATTGATTTATATTTTTATCTTTATTCATTATGAGATTTTATCATCTGTTACCCCTGAGAGTTGGACAAGTTGAGCTAAGCAGACAGATATTTTATGAAAAAGTTAAAACACTTGTGTGGTGAAAAATTTTAATTTTTGTTTTTTAGCTATTTGGTCTTTTAATTTTTATCCCTAGTAATTTAGGTCAATAAAATTTCTTCTTTTGTACTCCAATGAATTCGTGCGTGTGTGTGAAATCTAGGGAATTTAATTTTGATCCAGTGGATGTGAATATATTTTACATTTTGTTTAGGAAAAGAAAATTTTTTGGTGTTAAAAAATTAATTAATTTACGACGACGCATTAATTAGGGATATTATTAGTAAAAAAATTATTACTTTCATAAATAGTAATTATCTTTTATTTTTCTATTGTCAAAAAAATGAGGCTTAGATTGTGTATATTCAAGACGGAAAAAAAATTTATAATATCTTTAGAGTTTTAAGATCGATTTTGAACGAGATTTTCTTTTCTTATGTGTCCTTTTAAAATTGAAAGAGATTACTCCTCCAACTTTAATACGGGCTCCTAAATTTGGACCGATACATCACGCTCCTGTTTGGTACATATTTTTTAAAAAAGAATGCATTCTTACTGTTGATATGATAGAGAATATGTGGTTGAAAAAGAAGGAAATATTATTGATTTGATGGAAAATATTATTTTATTGAAAAATGTGTGATTAAAAATGAGTAGAAAATGGGAATTAGAAAAATAATGTGGCTCAAACAGGGCCACATGATTTTTTAGAAAACAAGTAAAAAAAGGAGTACAAAGTTACATGCTGCCTTTTAGACAAGTTTTTCTAAAGAATCTCCATGGCTATTGAATAATTTTCAATACGATATCAAGTGTTTAAATCAGCTAAAATATTTTTTACGACAACAATTTTTTTACCCCGAAACAATTGAAATAAAACAATATGTTTTCACGATGATGTGGTGATAATTCTTTTTAAGTTATTAGTATGTTTTGTATAATTTTTTATAAAATATATCGTTTGAATCCTACGAAATATGTGAATTATAAATAAAAAATATGTTTTATAATTATAACTTTGCTAAACTAGTAACAATTATCCTCTTTGTTGTTTTGTATATCTGGCATTGGACTTGGGCCTGTCTCTCACTCATTGGCCCTATCCATCTAATCTGCCTTGTGTTGTGGACATCTCTAACATCTTCAATGGATCACGTGGATTATTGTCTATGGGGGCAGCAAATTAAAAAGACTTCAAATTTATGTGACTTTAATGTCTATTAATTACACATTTAGCCTATATTCGATCTAGATTAAAAATTATAGCCCTGGTAAAAATTAACATCCAAATTTTAATCTAAGGGTACGTTTGATTGCGAGTATGTATGAAAAGAAAATAAATTCTAAACAATTCAATTTACTAGAACTTATTTGTATGTAAATTATTAATTAAATGTGTTTGATTGATTTAATTTTCAACCTAAAAAAATTATACTTGTCCATTTTTTATTGGTCGTAGATGGAAGAGAACGGATAGATAAGAGAGAAAAATGGAGAGCGAATTTCTCGGAAAATAAAATCTTACTCTCCTTAAAGAAAATATTTT